TCACACGTCCTGCTCTGCAGAGGGCAGCCCGCGGCGCCGTCCCTACCGGCAGGGTGTTGGGGAGGCTGGAGTATGGGGTGCAGGGCGCCCGCCCAGGCAAGCCCACAGTCCACGTGGCTGTGGCTACGCCTGTCACATTCTGGCTGGCAAAGGCAGTGGCGGACAAAATGAAATGGCCCTGGCCCCACAGCTGCCAGAGGTGCGGTGCGGCTTCGTTGTCAGTGCTGTGTGTGTGCCCAGGGGCGGCTGGCTCAGTAACCTCCAGCATGGGCATCCCAGTCTGGCACCAGCCCCGAGGGGCACACGTATTTTGGTAATCAGAATCTTTGCGTTTTAGATCAGTGCATGGAATTGGAGTAGCCGGCCTCCAGAGAGGACCCCACGTCCTGCATCCATACCCTTGTGATTGGACCCCCTGACACAGTGAATAGGGCTGACCGGTGTGACCAGCAACATACTGCAGAAATGAGGGAACGTGATTTCTGCAGCTAGAAAGACATCGCGGTAACTGCCTTGTCCTCTCCTTGAGGCACTGGCTCTGGGTGAGGCCGCCCGCCGTCTGCAGAGCGTCCTCAGGTAGTCCTCTGGAGAAGTCTGTGTGGAGGAACCGAAGCTTCAGGCCAATAGCCAGCAGCGCCTTGCCCGGCACAGTGGACGAGCTACCTGGGAACCACACCCGCTGACCCTGGTCAAGTTTTCAGATGACACAGTGCCCCAGCCAACGTCTTAATGTGACCTCATGGGACCCCCGAGCCAGAACCACCCGACTAAGCTGCTTCTGAATCCCACACCCACAATCTGTAACATGAGATAATAGATGTTTATCGTTTAAGCTGCTGACTTCTGCGGGAGTTTGTCACACAGCCGTACAAAACAAATAGTGCATCACTTAGTGCAACCCACCGGGCAAGGACAACACTCCAAAGCCAAATACATTGAAATTTCTGCAAAGACAGATTATCTGTTCAAATTAAGTGAGCCGAGTAAAGACCATAAAGGCCTTACAGTTGTTTACAGATTTTGCACCGACTTTAAATAGTTTGTATTTCCAAGCTTTTTGGATTTCAGAGTTATAGATGAGGGAAGGCAGACCTCTGACATCTGCTGTCCAGGGTGTCATGAGGATTCAACAACTTAGCGTCAGAAGTACCAACATGCCTGCGCCTCCCACTGAAATCCAGGTGCTGAGTCAGGCACTTGGGATCCAAGAGCAAACATTCCAATAGTAGAGATAGACCCCTTTCAAAAACAGAATGATTGCAAAGTAAGGAAATGTGTGTAGGAAGGGCAGGTGGGGGATTGTGCAAGGAGATGAACGGGCCAAGCAAGAGGAACAGGAGGGCAGGCAGAAAGGAGGGGACTTCCAGCTGCAGCCTAAAGCTTGAGAAGGAACCGGCCCAGAATTGAGCAAGTGGGTCCTAAGCAGAGGGAAAATGTTCGTCCAGGGCTGGGGAGAGTTCCGGGGCTACCACCCTGGAATGCGGCTGTGGGAGGGGGCGGGGGGTGCAGATCAAGAAAGCTTCAGGCCCTGTGTAGAAGTTGGGTCTCCTCATTCTAAGAGCAGTGCGGGGCCATGGGGTGTCCAGTGGAGGTGACCGGGTGTGCTCCTGGAGAATGGGTTGTGGGGACATGGCTGGAGGAAGAGGGGTGGCAGACCCAGGGGGAGGAGATTGGGCATGGGCTGTTTCCTCATCTCTGGTTCATTCCCTAGTGGAAACTAGCAAATCTGAGTTCCTCCCCTGGTTGCCTCCTGTGGTCTCTTACCTCAGGTCCCTTTGGGGCCTGTGGCCTCTTCGTTGCCTCCTTCCCCTTCTGGCTGGATGCTGGGACTCTGGCCTTTGCTGTGATCAGCCTCTGGAGGCAGCTGGTGTGGACGGGCATCTCCCTGGGGGCCAGTGAGGTCAGCCACTGCCACAGCTGTGCCAGCAACCAGCCCCACACATGCACACACGTGCTGTCACACTCCCCGCGGCCGGCCCCTCTGCAATCCTACAGGTCCTCACAGTGCAGAGTCGCCAGCTGTAGGAGAGTGAGTGTACTGGTCAGCTCAGGCTTCCATAACAAAATTTCAGACTGGGGCTCAACAGCAGGCATCTATTTTCTTCCAGTTCTGGAGGCTGGCAGTTCGAGGCGCCAGCAGGTCTGGTTTCCTGGGCTCCTCTCCATGGCTTGCCAAAGGCTTCCTGTTCTCTGTGTCCTCACGTGGCCTTTGCTGTGTGCACATCCCTGGTGTCTCCCTTCTTAGAAAGATACCAAATCCTATTGGATTTGAGTCCCACCCTGTGACCTCACATCATTCTAACTAATTCCTTACAGACCCCATCTCCAAATATAGTCATATGGGGCTTAGGGCTTCCACGTGTGAACTGGGGTGGGGACAGAATTCAGCCCCTAACAGCAGGGATGCTGCTGAGTAGCACAAAGATGTTTTTAATTCTTTTTTAAGGTACCTGACACATCAGGTATGTTCCTTCGGCCCTTGGAAGAGGGGTCAGGTGGGACCCAGAGCAGGAGCAGGGCGCTAGGGGTGGTCCTCAGGGCACGCCATGGCCTGTCCCCGCCCTGGGGCGCTGTCTTGCCCTGCCGTGCCCACAGTGGCCAACAGAGGAACACGCCAGCCCTCTGCCTCCAGGTGTATCTGCACCTTCCCGGCTGGCACAGCGCAGGTGCCACGTTGTTCCCCTGGAGGTTGTGTTTACCATTTATTTTCCTATGAAGTTCTAGCTTCTGGTGCACTGGGGCAGTAGAACAAGCGTTAGGTTGTCAGGTGGAGGAAACAGCTCTCAGCTCTAGGGTGCGGTCAGCCCCAGCTACCCTCTTTCCTTCTTTGTGGGGTTGGCCACCTACCCAAGTCACTTTCTCTGACACTCCCCCTCCTCATCCACTGGCCAGGAGAACTCCTATGCCAAGTCCTGAATGCACTGTCCTTACTCTGATGACCTTTAACAAAGACACAGAACTGCTGGCTCCACAACAGGGCCCAGCACAAGGTTGGGCCAGAGCTGATGCAGGGAGCATGGGATGACTACATGGCACAATTCCGCTGTGTCTCGATTTGTGCAGTAGAGGGTCAACTCCACAGGTCTGGGGTGTTCAAACCCTGCACACTCCAAAGGAACAACTGGCCCTTGGCCAGCTCCTGGGGTATAGCCCCTAAGCCCTGGAATATCCTGCCCGATAAGAGTGTCTTTGCTTACCCAGAGGCCTCGGGCCACCCCAGATGGCCTGTGCTAACAGTGGGATTTGTGATGGAGCCATGGGCCTATCAGCAAGGCCAGTCACGGCCGCACTCCATGCCCACATCGTGGTTCGTAAGCTCCCGGGTCACAGCACCCCCTCTGTTCACCAGCAGTACTGCTGGGAGGAGCAAGTGCTGTCCACAAACTCCACAGGCACCGGAGCCGAAGCTGGTGCCCAGTGTCTCTGGCCCCTGTTGTACACGCCTTTTACCTCTGCTGATTTTAATCTGTAACCTTTTCTGTAATAGACTGTACCCATAAGTGTAACAACTCGCCTGAGTTCTGAGTCCAGTGAGTCCCCGAATCCGAGGGTGCCTTGAGGACCCTGATCACAGGTCTTTACTCTGATGGCTGAGGGGCCCCCCGGGCCTCGTGGAAGCCAGCTCCTCTTTCAGGATCACAACCTGTGAGGTGGGCCCAGGGCCCCCAGCATCCAGGGGCACAAGGGGAGCTGTGGGCTGAAGGACAGCACCCACCCCAACCCCGCCCTAGCTGGCACTGGGCACCAGGTGCCCCCGAGCTGCCATTTTCAGCAGGGTTTGGCAAGGCAGGGAGGGATGGCACCACCAGAAGTAGGATCACTGACGGGTCCAAGGCCATCACAGAGCAGACCACTGGACCGCCTTCTGGTATCTGCACAGCCCAGGGTAGCCTCTGATCCCAGAGTGACACAGGCAGGCCTCCACGCAGCCCACAGCCTGAGGGTGCCAAGGACAGTGCCCTGCCTGGCTCAGACAGCTCCCCCTTGTCCCTGAGACCCACCGAGGTCCTCTCCGCCTCAGGGCTCTGCCCCTGCGGGCCCTGCCTGGAGTGTTTGTGTCCAGCCACTTTCTGCACAACTAGCAGTTATGTTGTGTGTGTGGTTGCCCCAGATAGCAGGGTGAGAGGACCAGGCTTGGGCAGCTGGGTGGCATGACTGACAGTCTAGGGGTAGCCCAGGCAGCTAGTCCTGGCCTGTGCCAGGCTGGCCTGGACCCTGTGTGTTTGCTTGGTGACCAATCACACTTCTCGCCACCCCTGCCCTTGCCCCCCTGGCTTCTTGCAGCTTGAAGTGTTTCTCCCATGAGTGGCGGCTCTCCCTTTGCCTGGACTTACTGGGGAGCATGGGTCTCTCTCTGACACGACGGGGTTCAAGGGTGCCCCCCACAGACAAGGCCACCTCCTAATGCCCAGACCGTACAAACATGACCTCATCTGGAAAAGAAGGCTTTGCAGATATAATTCAAGGATCTCAGAATGGACATCATCTGGGTTATCTGGGTGGGTCCTAAATCCAGGGCAAGTGCCCTTCGAAAGTAAGACTGAAGAAGGCCATGGGAGACAGCGCTGTGGCTGCAAACCAAGGAATTAGCCCCAAGAACCCCGAGAGCAGGGAAGCAGCCGGCCCAGAGCCCTCTGGGAGGCTGCAGGCCCCGGGGGGCCCTCCTGCCCTCAGACCTCTGGCCGCCTCGCCACAGGGCCCAGGGGCCCCCCGGGGGAACGACCCCTGACCCAGCCCCTACAATCATTTCTCAAGTGAGCGATCAAAATGCAAATTCTGTGGGATTCATAGTCAGTTCTTGGTGGTCTCGGCACCTCAGAGCAGCTTGGCTACTTAGCAGAGAGCTCAGTGATGCAGACCGCCAGGAAGGGGCCCAGCAGAGGGGAGGAGACTTGCGGGGTGCCGGGGGGCTGGCGGGCTGCACCTCTCTGGGTGACCTCCTTGAGGTGGGGCTCCGGGCCCCCCAGGTGCCTGGGGCTACGCGCTCAGCCCTCCCCGCGAGTGGCCACGAGGGGGCGATGCGGCCCCGCGCGTACAGGCCCGGCGGGCACCACAGTGGCACGAAGCCCTCCTGCTGCCGTGTCCGAGCTCCTGCCACCGGCCGGGTCGAAGGGCAAGGTGTCGGGGCAAGGGAAGATGGCAGGCTCCTGTCCTGAAGCCCCACCTCACGCAGGGTTGTTCACTGGCTGTTGGGGAAGGGGGAGCTGGACGGGGAGCACACCGGGGTGACTGTTGGTGGCACGCATCCGGGCGCGAGCAGGGGTCGGAGGGGAGCTGAGAAACTCGGCGTCCCGGGTTAGTGGACTCTCGCCGACCGGTGTTCCTAAAACTCTTTGACAGGGCCGTCGTCCCCATCACCCAGACAGGGTGCAAGCTTCCGGTAAGGGGCTATTTGCAGAAGCCTCAAACCAAACGCAAAATTCCTCTGAATGCTCAACCAGCCTGTGTGCAGAGCTGCAGGCTGAGCAGGACCCTTTCCCTTTTTTTCCCTTTTGGCCCAGAGGCTGAGGCAGTAAAGGAGACAAATACAGGTGCCTCTTCTTCACCTGGTCGCGCTCCCCCAGGGCCTGAGAATGAGACAGGGGCCATGGGATTAGGCAGAGTAGGGTGAGGGCCTCCGGGGAAAAAGCAGAGCAAGACGATTACAGTCAGAACAATGTAGCAATGTGCAAAGAAGTCCCTATTGAAACTCTGTGATAAGCATTGCAAAGTCAGAGTCACAGTAATTCTCTAGGGTAAAGATCCCAGACTAGGAATATAGACATCTTCAGTGAGATCGGTTAAAACTCAAAAGGCCGGCAGCAACTTGGCCTGGAATGTTGGCGTGTGCTGCAGATAAAGAAAAGTGTCTCAGCATAACCCGTGACTTCACTGCTTAGCCTGCTAAAAGGACCACTTATTTTAACTATACCTATGTGCTATATTTCCTTCTCTGATCCTAACCAAGTAATTGCAACCTAGGAAAAAGACTAATTTAGTAAGCAAGCCAACTATAAACAGCTCAAGAAGTTAAGAAGATTCTTAACTTACTTCAGCAAACAGGCAACAACTCAGCCCACCTTGGGGGCAGGGCAGGCCGTCTTAACTGACTTGCTCCCAGAGGGAAACTGCTATCCTGAGAAAGAATCAGAGCTGAAAATCTCCTCTGTTACTCACCAAGAATGAGCATTCTGGGACCACTCAACAAGTCTGCACCCCTAACCTTTACCCTCAGTCCTGAAAATCCTCAGCTGCCTATAAAACCCCCTCGACAATGCACCACTACGGCCTCTTCTGTCCCCTCCTGGCAGGAGCCGGGAGCCCTGTCCACTCGCTTTCTCTCTAAATCAAAGCCTGTGCCTTGCTCTCCTACCTGGACTGTTTGTGAAGCTCATTCTTCGGCTCCATGAACAAGAACCCCGGCATCAAGAACACAGCCACGCCCAGGCCCGCGCGGCCTCCCGACTGTTCCCGCAGTTCCCGGCACACAGCCTGCCCTGCCGGCCCACACCCCGGCTCACCGCCCTCAAAATCTCCATCTCCGAGTCCATCTCACAGGCAGGGGCGCCCTGACCTGCTCTCCCCGATGGGCCATGCGAGCTGGCAGCAGAGAACAGCCCTTCAGCCCTGTGGCACCATCTAGAAGATTCTCTGGCCCTGAGGAGGTGTTCAGGCTTTGCTAGGAGTCACGTGCTTGCACACGGCCTCCCCTCCCAGCTTTTCTCCCTAAGATGGTGTCTGGGCGAGTTGGGGGAACTCACAGGTCCCATGACTTTGGGGAAGGGGTTCCCCGCCGTGGCGCAGTCCTTGGGTGGGCCAGTGGGTGCTGACTGGTCTCCATGGTGACGACCCTCATCGTCCCAGGTGCAGGTGTTCCCGGCCCTGGACCTCACCCTGCCTTCATCCCATCGGCCACGCTGAGCTTGTGCCCCATTACTAGACTGCACTCCAGGGCCCGGGACGTGGAATTCCCTGGGCACATGGCCCCAGCTGCGTCCCACTGAGTGCGGTTCGCGCTGCTGGTGAGACGTAAACCACCTCAGTCGCTCAGTAACAACTCGGGCAGACAGCGGAGGGGGGCACAGAGGTTGCCCAAGGGGCCGCGGCCGGCTCTCCCTTGGCGCTCTGGTTCAAAGAATGCAGGGGACTCAAGACCCTGAAACTAGACCCGGCCTCCCAGGTCGCTGCAGGGTGTGTTTGCCAAGGTCCGCTTCAGGCTTTGGAGCTCCCTGTCAGCTCTGCAGGGCTTACAAAGGCGGACTGTGGCTCTCCCCGCAGGGCAGACTGGCTGGAGGCCACCCGGCCCTTCCGCCCAGCGGCCCTCTCTCCTCCCCCAGGCAGGGACCTTTTACTTCCCGGCCGCTCTAGTGCCTTTGCTCCGTGTGCCCAGCTCAACCGTGGCTGGACTGAGGGGGCAGAGAGAGGAGCTGGACTGAGGGGGCAGAGAGAGCACAGGCCCGGTGCTACTGTCTGGTCTGGCTTAGGACAGCTTGCTCCTCCTCAGCAGGTGCTCAGGGATGGCCGCAGGCCGGCGGACAGCAGACGTAGGGTTAGGTGGGACTTCTGGCGAGGACTGGCTGGAGGTGAGAGTGGGAGATGCAGATTTCCAGGGGAGGAACATCCCAGGCAGAGGGGACAGTGGTGGAAGGCCCCAGGCTCCACCTGCCGGTACTGGCTTTGAGGACAGGGGAAGAGGCCAAAGCCCAGGAGTGTGGGGGTCTCCAGGAGCAGGGAGAGGCGAGCAGGCACATCCCCCCCTCAGAGCCTGCAGAGGGAACGCAGCCCTGCATAAAACGAAGTCGTCTTGATTTTAGCCCTGTGACACTCGTGACAGACTTCCAATCCCCAGATTTTAAGAAAATACATTTGTGTTGTTTTAAGCCACTGAGTTTGACACAACTGCTATAGCAGCCACAGGAAATGCACACAAACCGTGGTGCAGTGGGGGAGAAAGTGGCGGAGGACATGAAATCACAGGCCTGAGGAAGGGGGAGGGGGCGCTGCCCTCACCTAGGACAGGGGAAATGGGCGGAGAGGGGCAGCGTCCCTGCCAGCCTGCTCATAGCGGCACCCTGGCACCTGGCACCACGTCACACACGGGAGACCCTCAGCTGAGGTTTGCAGCATGACATAGGTTCATATCCTGAACAGAGTCCAATAAATCTACAACATGGGGTTCTGAAGTGATCGATTCAGATGTTTGAGCACATACTCTTCACATTGGCCGACTGCATCCAGAAGATCATTCATTTCACTGATCGAAGCTGAGGTACTGTCATGAGTTGACACCAGGAGAGCGAAGCACTCAATGTTCCTCTGAGTTGTCCATGATTTATAATGACGTCTGCACCTTCCTTATAACCTTGACTGAAGCCTTGTTGAAGAGTGACAGCTCTGCCAGCATCTACTCCATCTCCATAACCCTCCCGCCACGTAGTTTTACTTGGACTCGTCTCTGCATGTGGCTCCACCATTCCCGCTGCACTAGGAGAGACTCGTCTGCTTCCTGGTCAAACACGTCCCCCTCCACTCCAGGGCCCCGGACCCAGGGAAGCCCTTGAACCCACGACATCACCGAGGCAGCCACGGGACAGCCGCTGCCGTAAGCGCTGTAAGTCCTTCTGGTCCGAGGGGCCGGGCCGGGACCGTGAGTCGTGGCTGGCAAGGAGGTTTGCAGCATGAATGAACGTTTTAGGGTGCTCTGTAAATACATGCGGCATGCAAGAGTGAATAAATCATTTTATGAGGCTGAGCTAGGAACCCCCGTCTCAAGGGGCTCCTGGGGGTGGGGAGCCAGAAGAGGGTCTGCAAGTGCTACCCCTTGCCAGTCTCCACAAATGAGGCAAGCTCCAGTGGTCCTGCAAGGCTGGGCCCTCCATGGGCCCTGCCCAGCCAGCATGACAGCCACCCTGGGCTGCTGGGCCACAGCGCTGGGGGAGCAGCTCACCCCCTCCTGCTGCCCTCCTGTCTGCTAGCCTCTTGGCCTGCAGGCCCTCCCTGCCCACCACATACACTATATACTCGACAGCCCTTCTGGGAACATATGTCTCTATCCTGCTCTATTTCCCAGACCTATTTAGTGCTGGAACATCTTCCCAGACCCTCTGGCCCCAGAGAGGATTCTAGCAGGTTCTGAGCCTTCCTATGGGAGCAGAAGGGCCTGGACAGCCCTGCCTTGGGCCAAGAAGGCAACTCTTGGGACCTTTAGTCCCCTCTTCCAGCCCTGGCCAGTAAGAGTCTTCTAAGGGGGTCAGTAAGGCAGAATATGTGGCATGTCAGAGGAGGCCAGGCAGGGCAGGATGCCAGGGCAGCCCTGGCGCCTGACAACTCTCTCTCCTCTTGGCGCCAGGGTTTCCATCTGCCCAATGGAGAGAAGCTGCATGCAGCCGGCTTTGATCATTTATTAGACATGTTTGCACTGAGTGCCCACCACGTGCCCTGGGCCCTGCTCCCAAGGAGGCCACCCCACCTGGATGAGGATAATGTGCCCTGAGCTGGAGGTCACCTAACCTGTGTGGGTGTGCCTGCCGGAGCCCCAGCCTCATGGTCCCTGGGCTGCATGGTGACAGCGGCTTTGGGGTCTCGGGCCCCCCATTCCTTGTTAAAGCTGTTTTCCTCCTCCCAACAGCCACCCACAGGGGAATGTCTGTATTTCTTTCCCAGACAAAACCTTCTTCTCAGTGGTCAGTGAGGTTAACGGCTGCTATGTGAGGTATCAGCTGATGACCAGGCTGTTAACTGTCAGCTCAGGTGCTGGGTGACAGCTTACTTGAAAGGTAAGATGTTTGATGGTGAGGCTTAATGCTGATTGGGGTTATTTGTAACAAAGAGATCTCTGAAGACAGAGACTGCTGAGGACAGACAAGCCAAGGAGTGAAGCTCTCAGGCTGGCCGGTCGGCTCCCTGGCAGCCAGGCCCTGGGGAAGCCTCTCCCCTGTGAGACAGGCCCTGCAGGTGGGAAGAGCCCAGGGAAGATGCAGTCCTCACTGAGCACAGGGGGGTTTGGGGCTCAGACAGAGGAGCCAGCTCCCCCAGGACAGAAGCAGGCCTCCCCATGTCTCCCTAAACCTGGAGCCTCACACTCCCCTCTAGAAGGCTCGGGAACGGAGAGCCTAGGGGGCGTCTAGAGGTGCAAGTGAAGGGAAGCTAAAATAAGCAGGGCTGGCTGGGAACAAAGCGGAGAACAGCTGGGTCTGGTGCCGCCCCGCTAGGCTTCTGCCCTGGATTGGGCCAGAGGGACCCTGGACTGTGGGGCCTCAGGAACAGAGTGGGTGGGGGGACTCAGCACACACTTACACACTGCTGAGACCCAGCCTGTCCCACCCACCCGTCCTCGGTGGCCTGACCTCTCCTTCCCACGCAGGGCATCAGAGGGATTTTCTCCAGGGAATGGGACCAGCCAGGAGATCGCGGGGGCCACAACCTTGAGCTTCTGAGTGGTTCCAGGGGGGCTGCACGCAGGCTCTGCAGCCAGACTCCCTGGGGGTGGCGCCAGATCCCCAGTGTGAGTTTCACCTCCCACAGTCCCAGTTTTCTCATCTGAAAATGGAACTCCTGCCATCGCATGGTGGCTGCAGGATGAGATGGGGTAGGAACGAGGAAGCGCCTGGCCCAGCAGGTTCAGCCACACCGCCAGTGAGCCCTTTCCTCACTCGCCTCCTGGCTACCCTCATGTGCCAGTCCCAGGGAAGCTGGAAGGAAACGCCTCTGCTCTTAGAGGCCTTGCCAGGCAGACTCGGGCCCCTTTCCCTGCCGCGCGAAGGCTGTGTCTCCTCCTACCCTCATGGCCAGCTCTGGGCTGGGCAGGCTCAGAGGTCCACTGTGGGTAGGCATGTTCATCTTTTCCCAGTCCCACCAGGCTGGGGCAGAGGCTGAGAGGAAGGGCTGTGTGTGCAGGGGGTTCAGAAGCAAGGCACTGGACCTGAGCCATTCTGAACTTCTGGGGTGGACAGTGGGATGACCGCTGTGTCTGGGGCACTGGGGGCTCCCGCTCAGCCTGGTGGGGATGGGAGCACAGGAAGGCATCACGGTGTCAGGGCAGAATTCACAAGGTCGGCCGATTGGCCAGAACGTGGCCCACTTGGAAGGGAGGTGTGCCCGGGGCAGCAGGTGGGGGCCTTAGAGCTGCCTACCACGGTCTGCAGGACTTAAGGGAACGGGAATCAAGGCCAGAGTCCATGCTTGAGGATGAACAAGTGGGGGAGGGGAGGGGGTAGTCAGGCTAGGCAGGGGGCCGAGAGCCTGGCAGGACCACCCAGGACCCCGGCAGGGCGTTCTGGGAGCCCAAGAAGGCGGCTCCCTCATCCGCTCCTGCTGAGGCAGCCTGGTCTCACGAGGGGCCTGGAGGGCAGGTGCAGGGGACCCACGTCTCTGCTGGGAGCGCCCTCTCTCGGAGCCCGCTCTCCCAGGCACATCCTCATGCTCCCTGCTCCAGTCAAGGACAGTTTCACAGTTTCACAGACTACTTCTCACCTCCTGTACCTCAGCCCAGTGGCTAGTGCTGGCAGGGGAAGGGCCAGCTGCCCCCCGACCCCAGGCTGGTGGCTAGGTAGGGCCACCCTGGGGGTGACGTGAGGCCTTCACGTCCTGAAGGCCACAGCTTCCCCTTGCCAGGCCTTATGTGGGCTTCCCCTTCCAGACCCCAGCACCTTCCTGGAGGTCATGTGGCCTGTAGGGGAAGGGGCTGCGGGACAGGGGGTGCCTGGGATGGGGGAGAAGCCTCCCTGTGCACAGCACCCACCTCCACACCACCAGGGCCGGAAGCGGAACCCAGAAAAGAACAGGCCACTTTCAAGTTCCAAATTGGGCTCCGGGGGCTGAGAGTGTGTTTGGATGTAAAAATAGAAGCACGGCTGTGTGCGTGGGCCCCACGTACCCCACCCACGGGGTCGCTGTTTTAAAACAGAACTTCCTAGTGTGGTCTGCCTGGCACTGTTATTCTAAGTAGAAAACTTACCCACACAAACCTCTCAGAGGGTGAAGCAGCAGCTGACATGGGCTCAGGGGTGCTGATCCTGGCTGGCAGGGTGCAGACTTTGGGAGGTGGAAGGGGCCAGGCAGGGGGACCTGGCCGGCCTTTGGGTAAGCCCCACAGCCCCACGACTTCATCTTCCTTCCACCAGCAGGGCCGGACGCACACCGTGCGCCTGCCAGGAGAGCCCTCCCAGGCCACCGGGGCCAGCTCAGCCCCACCGTCCCCGAAAGCCTCCTCTGAGCTCGTCAGCCCGGTGCCTCTCTCAGGCCAGCTGAGAAGTGAGCAAACGCTGACGCACCCACTCAGGTCGGGCCTGTACTGGCCACAGGGGCTGGGGGTGGGCAGCAAGGCAAACTGGGTACAGGCCCTGCCCTCCAGGTGCTGATAGTGGGCCACCCGGCCACACACCCACAGACTGGGGCCTCCCACCGAGGGAGCCTGTGGGCAGAGCTCTTGCGCAACAATCCTGGGGCCCCGGACTGACGGGGTCCTACCCCCAGAGCCGTGGGCCTGGTTGCGGTGGAGGTGTTCAGGAAGTTCAGGGAGTCCCGAGCAGTGTGGTGGGCAAGCCGGGATGTAGGTGGGCACCTGGGCAGGAGTGTTGGGGCACTGGGGAGCTCCCTGGGACAGGATGCTGAGCTGGCTCTCCTGGGAAGGAGGCAGGAGGGGTGGGGGTAAGGGGCCCAGCTGAAAGAGCTCTGGCTTGGAACTGGACGGATATCCCAATCTGTGAGCCACCCCCACAGCCCGCTCTGGTCACAGCACCCATCTGCTGCTCTCCTCTAGGTTCCAGCCAAAGAAAAAACACCCCCACCTCCCACCCAGGGCAAGCAGCATGCTGGGGGCCAGGCTGCGGTTCAGCGACGGCCTGGAGCCTGAGGCAGACAGCCAGGGCGCACACTGCTAGCTGGGCCCCTGGAGGGAGTCCCAGCCCCAGGCCTGTCCTCATAGCCACAGAAGCAGCCTGCTGCCTGTGAGTGAGGTCCAGTCCTCCCTCCTGGGCTCCCCCAGAGCCCAGCAGCCAGCACCCCCCAGTCTTACCCTCCCTCACGGCTGGTCTGTGTAGCCGGAGGCCCAGCCCAGGACGACTGCAAACGGCACTGCTGGAGGGGGCTGGGGGCTGGGGTGGGAACTTGTTGCCCAAGGCCCCTAACTGAGCAGGCAGGCTGCTCGGGGCTGGAGTGGTACAGCCTGTGGCCTTGGCCCCACCCAGGAACAGGCCTGCCAAGGGGGTTGAGCACCCCTCTTTCCCAACCCTGGCCAGCTTGGCCAGAAGGCTGGGGTTGGGATGGGTGAGAAGATTGATGCCTCAGGGTCCTCTGGACATGGGGCTCCAGCTCTGCCTGGACCTGCTCTGTCCTTGGGCTGTCCCTTGGGGCCTCTGTCTATTCATGTGTCAACCACTCATGGAGTGTCTACCCTGTGCCAGGGCAGCGGTGAGGCCCGGGGGAAGCAGCAGGGCCTTAAGACCTGTGAGGTGACACTCCAGAGGGGACCTGGTCATAAGAAATAACAATATACAGGGGCTCAGTAGAAAGGGGAAGGAGGGACATGAGGATGGTGGATAGCTCTGAGAAGAGGAGTGAGGAAGAGAGGCTGAGAAAATGGTGCTGAAGCAGAGACGAAGGGAAGTGGAGAGGTGAGCCACACAGTCTGGAGAGAGTGATCCAGGAGTGGGCAATAGCAAGTGCAAAGGCCCTGAGGTGGGGCGTGCTGGTGCGGCAGGAGCAGCAAGAGGCCGGTGTGGCGAAGCCAGCGTGGGTCTAGGAGGAGGCGCATAGAGAGCAGGCAGCGAGGCTGTGCAGGCCAGGACTGTGGCATTTGCTCTGGAAGGTTCCAGAGTGGAGAAACAACATGGGGTGGGGAGGGGCTGAGGGGGGCAGGAGCCACTAAGACCTGCAGGCGGACAGGCCTCGGGGTGAGCGCTATGCCAGGAGCTCTGGCCCACAGCACCAGTGTGGAGCCCTGCTCCAGGAGTGAGGCAACCACGTGGGGTCCCGCTCCCACAATGGCCTCTGTGGGCTGGGAGAGGATTTCAAGATCTCTGGGGTCCACGTCCAGCCCTGAGAGCCAGGGCCAGGATGAGGTGTGGCCCCAGCACAGTGGGGGTAAGTACCTGGGGGCCGAAGGGCTGGTGTGCCAGACATGCTACCTGCTCCCACCTTCCCCCAAACTTCTCCTGGCAACTCTCCAGGCCCCTTGTTTTACAAATAGGGAAACTGAGGCCTTGGCTGCCAACTCTCCCCTGGCCTCTGGCCATCTGACCCTGGTTGGGCCCCTTCCAGCCATCCTGCCTTGGCCCTGGTCTCTTGCTGGCAGGCATGAGCCTCCGCCCCACGCCTGTGACCAGGGCCTGGCCCCTTGGTTTCTCTGGTCTCTCCCACTCCGACCAAGTGTGTCACGGTCAGTTATCTGGTTCTAAAGTGGGACCTGTGTCCCCATCCCCCACAGCTGTGAGGAGAGGCCTTGTTGATTGGGGGCCTCTCAGGAGGTAAAATGGTCAGTATGGTAAGTGCCCTATTTCCTGGGCCCCACGGTGCCGGGGCCAGACCCCTGGGCCGTGGAGTCCGGTCCTGTCCAAGGTTGAGTCCCAACTGTAAGAGGCTGAAAGTGTCCTGGAGGCTCTTTTGAAACAAAAGCAAGGTTCCCTCCTCTGCCAGGGTTCATCCCCTGCCCCTGCCCTGTGCCTCCTTACCTGAGTCAGACGCTGCCTCCTCCGGCAGGATCAGGATCAGGGGTTGGGGACAGTGCCTCCTCCAAACCGGGCCACAGGTGTCAAGCGGCGGGACACACATGCTGCTCTTTCACTTACCTGCATTTACTGAGCACCTACTGCGCACTATGCGCGGAAGGTGTGTCTGCCTGCAGCCAATGCCTGTCTTCTTCTCCCCGGGAGCGGGGGTGGGAAAAATTTGGCTCCTCACCCGCTGAGGCCCAGGCCCCCGCCTCGAGCTGGTGAGGAAGTAGGTGGGGGACTGTGGGCACCCGGGGCGACAGGCCAGGGCAGATGGGATCTGGCCTTGAGCCTGGGGAGGGGCGGGGCTAGGAGCCCGAGGCGGGGCGGGGCCGGGTTCGTGGGCGGGGCCGGTAGTCTGGGAAGGGGCGGGGCCGGGAGCCCTGGGAGGGCGGGCCCGGGAGCCCCGGAGTCTGGCCCCCAAGCCGTCAGCGGCCGCCTGGACGCGGGGTCGGCAGGCGGGGAGAGAGCCTCGGCGGGTAAGGCACAGCTCGGGGAAGCGGGTGGGCGGGGCGCGATTGGGACCCTGGGCCGGCTGGGGTCCCTGGGCTGGGGTCCTGCCGTCGGGTGCTCTGGCGCCTGGTGTCGCCCCTGCGCGGGTTCGGGGCTGTGCACCCGGAGGCTTAGGGGTGGGGGCCGGTGGCGTCGCGTCTGTTCTGCGCCCCTCTCGTCCCTTTGGCCCCCACTTCCCCAGGTTCCTGGGGCTCGGAGGCTACCGCAGGCCCCCATTTCGCGATCCACGCGACCGAGTCTCCAAAGGCTCAGGCTCGGAATTTGTTCCCACCTCCTCCCAGTAATCCAAACTTGCCTTCCCTCAGCCCCCTCAGCAAAGGTGGGAGAAAAGCCACTAACTGCAGCAGATTCACACTGAAGCGTGAGTGACTGATAGGCCCGTGGCCCTGGGGAGTCTGTGACTCTTATTCTGGGGAACAGGGAGTGTCAGGGAGTAGGGCAGAGTGGGTGGGGGGTGGAGGCTGGCTGCAGCTTTCCACAGGTGGGCCAGGCCCCCCCCAGCAGCCCAGTTCTCCCCCTGGTGAAGGGGCGCGAGTAGTCTGCTCCTCTGGGGTGCTGAGGGCCTGGGCGCTGTTGCAGTGTGCCAGCCTGGAGCCTGCCCCCCGCGGCCACCCTGTGCAACCTGACCACCTTGCTCACCTCCCCTCTCTGCTCCATGCGCTCAGCTGTCAATGCTGGTGATGTCCCTGCCTGCCGGTCAGTGGCCATCCTGAGTATGCCCCTCAGGAGTGGCCCTGGGTGAGAGCCCTGTGGATGACACGCGTGTGATCTTGTGATGAGGCATGTAACCAGGCCTCAGCACCAGGGGGGCCCAGGGAATGTTACTGTGGTGATGATGAATGTGTAGAATTTTTTCACCACAGTCTGAGACCAGGTGGCAAGTTCTGGAGTGGGAGTTGGGATTCCAGGTCAAGGCCCACCTGGCACGGCTCAGTGTGACCCTGGCCAGCCCTCTGTCCTCTCTGCCCAGGCTGGGCTGGGCTCTATCACCTCCTGGCTCTACCCCTCTGTGTCTGTTACCAGGACCCCTGGGAAAGGGCCCCCAGGAGCCAGCACTGCACTCCAGGTGGGCCAGGGGAACAGGATGGGGGCTCTGAGGGGTGAGGACTCTGTCAGACTCCCCGTCCCTGCCTCCCTGTTGCTTGGTTCTGAGCACACCCTGGGGAGAGGGGAACACGGGCAGACCCAGTTCTGTCCCAGCCAGCCATCTGGAAAGAGGGGTGCTGACAGTGACTTCTCGGGGAGTCTCTCAGACCTACAGGGTCAGGGAGAGGCCCACCAAGGAGGCCAGCCTGAGGGGGATGGACGGAGGTCAGGTGGACTGCAAACCTGCCTCAGCCCTCCCTGTTTACGCAGAGGAAAGTGGGGTGCTGAGTCAGCTCCTGCCCTCCCCTCCCCCACAGGGACGCATGCTGCACTCAGGCTGACAGATAGGAACTGAGGGGACACAGAGACGATGTGGCCCAGCCTTGTTTACAGAGGACCTGGGTCCTGAGTTTGAATCCAGGTGTGTTCGTGGCCAGGTGGCTTGTGCTGAGCCTCGGTTTCCTGATCTGTAAAATGGAGGCAGTAAGCCACTTTCTGCGTTATGGGTGGCCCTGAATGTCCGAGGGGCTGGTGATGGCACGTGGTCGGTGTTCAGTGTGTATGAACCCCTGGGGTGCTTTCCCTAAACTCTCAGCTGCTCAGCCGCCGCAGCTGGGCCACCTCTGCTTGGGTGGGGGTGGGACTGGGCCTGGAGAGGCCTGGGGTAAAGGGCAGGTTCCCAGGTCCCCACCTGCTTGGGTCTTATGGCAAAGGCCTGCATCTATCAGAAGCTGCCAGGGACAGGGAGTCACCTGGGTCTTCCTGGCTTTTGTCCTTGAAGCTCTGTCATGGGATACCAAGGGTCAGTGACTGCCCCAAGCCACGCCCTCCCCTCCCTGGCTGGCTGGTCGGTGGCCCCAGCACATGTATGTAACCCTGGAATAACCCGGAACGGGGCCAGCACTGTGCAGCCCCACTGAGGGAGGTAGGCTGTAGGTGGCATGGAGTGCAGGGTGTGCGGTCAGGAGGGGTCTCAGAGCTTGGGTGGCCATGAGGGTAGGACAACTGAGGCAAGGCTGGTGGGAGGGAGGGAGGTAGACCAGTTTGACCAGAGTGGCCTGGTGTGTGCCAGATGTGAGGGTGTGGATGGGGACCTGGGTGAAAGTACAGAGGGGCCTGGGGGACAGGGAGAGGGAGCTCTCAGGATGCTGGACTCCTGCCCCCGGGTTAGGGTAGGTGGCCTGTCTCCAGAAAGCCTCTGGATCTCTCCAGTGGCCCTGACCAGGCCTCCAAGGATTGGGTCAGTCCTACACGTGGGCCACCGAAGTCCCAGAGGTGGGGGCAACATCCAGGCTCTCTGTGGCCTTGGGCAGCCGGGCCGGCAGCACCGCCTGGTCGCCCTCCTCACCACTGCAGGCCTGTGTGCGGGAGGGCAGACAAGATGCCGGCAAGGTACACAAAGCCGCCTCTTAGGAATGAGGACCTGGGCTTCCTCAGCCAGTTGCACTCCTTGACCGTTCCCAGGTGGTGGAAGCCCCTGGCTCACACACACGGTGCACTCGGCCGAGGGCCAGGCTCCCATGCCTCCCTGGACTCCTGGAGCAGTGTGAGTGAAGGCTCTCTCGTCGGGGAGGGCACCCCAGGGCTAGAGATGGCCTGGGCTCCCAGGAGGGGCCGAGGGTTGCCCACCTCCTTCCTGTGCCCCAGGACCCAGAACTTCTGAGGCCCCAGCCCTGAGGCCCCTGCATGGGCAGCCCCTGCTTGCCCACGCCCTAGGTCCCAGACCCTGCGGGAGCCTGCTGACAACACTGCAGCTTCCTTCACCCCTGACCCCAAAGCCAGAGTGGCTGACCTGGCCCACTCGGGCCGGCTCCCCAGGATGTGGGTGAGCCCACACTGGGGGCAGCGGCCTGGGGAGGTCCCTGGGCCCGCGGGATTGGCAGGGCACACTCCCAGCCCCTGTAGCTGGCAGTGCTCACAGTTCATGCGGGGCCCTGGCCTGACGCCTGGGCCTTTGTCGTTCCACTCCAGTCCCAGCAGTGGGCCCCCTCAGAAAACTGCTGCCCCCACCCTCCTGTCCCTCTCATGATGCCAAGTGCCCTGTATGCCAGGTCCTGGGCCAGGCATGGGCCCTGGGAGTAGCCAGGCCAGAGGGAAGGAGCTGCTGCAGGTAACAGCATCTCACCTGTCCAGTCCACCTTGCCACTCTGTCCCTCAGAAGCAGTTTGAAAAGAGGCATAGGTGTCTGTCCTGCTCGGCACTCAGGAGACTCTCCCTGTCCCCCTACCAACCTGAGTGCCTCCTCTGAGCTCCTAGCCTGTTCCCTGGTCACCCTATTTGCCTCCCCCTGCCCTACTGGGAACTCACACAGGACAGGACCACAGGTGAGGGCCTGTGCCTTGCGGCGCCCAGGGAAGGGCTGAGGGCGGGTGCGGGCTGTTCCAGTGGGAAGTCCCAGGCGGAACGTCCCGGGCACCCCCACAGACCAAAGCCCGGCAGTGGGCTCTGCGGCGGGTGGGGCTCTGTGGCCAGGCTGGCTGCAGCCTCACCAGGCACCCTCTGAAGGTGGCTGTTGCTCCGGCCTATGCTGAACCCTCCTCAGCATCTGAGACAAATGCGCTCCAACATCCTGGAAGGCCTCTGCCACCCAGGCCTGCGGAGTTTCCGATCGAATAATAGTGGGCTGTGCTGCAGCCTTGCTCAGGGCTCTCCAGGTTTCCATCCCAGCCCCGCCCCCTCCCACCCCAAGAGCTCCCCTCACCACCCTGCCGCTGGGTGTCTACCCACCCTACATGAAGTAGTTCCTCTCTCTGCAGCTGTGCTCTCCTAGAAGTGCGTGTTGGGACCAAGACTGGGTTCAGCCTGGGCTCTCCCAGCCTCTGGCCACAGTGGGGACCTGATCTTTGGGTCCTGAGGTGCAGCCCAGCAAGGCTGGATCCGCGGCTGGCAGGAGAGTGGTGGGGAAGGGGCCAGGAGAGGAGGCCCCCGAGTGGCAGGTGGGACTACAGCCCTGTGTGGGAGCCACGGTGTGGCATGCCAGGAGACAGTGCTCACCATGGGTTCTGGGGGATGGCCCTCCCTAATCCCAGCTGCCTCCTCTCCTCCTGTTTGAAGCCAGAAAAGGAAGACCCTCTCCAGAGGGGCAAGTGGCTGGCACTGGGGCCCTGGCTGCCTGGGCCCCCTGACAGCCAGGTACACACGGGCAGGCAGGCTGGCCGGTTAGGTGGGTGAAGAGAGGATGGAGTGGCTGCATCCCCTGAACGTCAGCACAGGATGGGAGGTGGCTTCCCATTGCCATCACCATCTGGCCTGAGATCTCTAGGAATGCTGGGTGGCTGCCCGGTGCTGGGGGGGATGCATGGCAGATCTGGCCATGAGCTAGATGCAGCAGAGGGCCTCCGAGACCTGGCAGCCGGTGTCAGGCTACCAAGGCCTCCCTGCTGGCCCCACCAGCTCATCAGAGCCATTGATTCTGGGGGTTGAGACTCAGCCTCCAGTACCCAGTACCCTGCACCCTGTCTC